ATCAAAAAGAGCAAAGGTCCTATGACTGAGCCCTGAGGTACCCCATTTGTGACATTAATCCAGTCTGACTGAACTCCATTTGTAACAACACTCTGCTTTCTTCCATCCAGCCACTCTTCTATCCAATTTGCTAACTTATCCCCTACTTGTATGGAGCTAATTTTTTTACAGGCGTTTTATGTGGCACCTTATCAAATGCTTTCTGAAAATCCAGATACATTAAATCTACACCCTTACCCTCATCTACATAAGCAGTAACCTTTTCAAAGAATGTTAAAAGATTTATAAGGCAAGATTTTTCCTTTGTGAAACCATGTTGACTATCCAATAAAATTCTAAACTTTGTTAAATGACTTTGCAAAGCATCTTTTTAACAGATTTTACAAAACTTTTCCCACAACTGATGTAAGACTAGTGGGTCTATAATTTTTATCACCTCCCTTGAAAAGAGGAGATACATTAGCTAACTTCCAATCCTTAACCAGCTCAAAATTAATGCAGTCATCTAGTCGATCTTGTTTCTATCTATCAACTGTTGAAGATGGGAAATACTACTTAAATCTTCATTAGGAAAAACTGAAGATAAAGCAAAATTTAATAACCCAGACATCTCATAATAATCAGATACTAGCCTTCCTTTATCATCCCTCAAGGCCCCTACCCCCATCCATAAAGTGCATATGAAAACATTCTGAGGATCAACTTCAATTTATGCAGTGATATACTAAATGTTTCACTAAAATTATATTGAAATTTTGTTTCTGTATTGAATGGTACAATTTTCAAAAATACTTAGTATTACAACATACTTGATGTATTAAAATGTATCCCAATTTTCTGTTTTATTATAGTTGCAATTAAACCCTAATTGACCAAAACCACTCAATACCATTCCTGAATCAATCAAGCATTTCTACAAATTTGTCTTAATTTTTTATTCATTTCAATAAACAATAATTTAGACTTTTTCCAAATCATGCAGATATTGAACTATCACATGATTTGATATAGGCTACTGTGTGATTATTTATACAAATTTCAAAAGAAAGTATCATCCTAAGTGTTTTTATATATATATATATATATATATATATATATATATATA